TCCTGTATTGCATCCAGCAAGTTGCTTAGCTTGTTGACCTCGAAATCTGCTCTACTTAGCTGTCAGCAGGTTCCTTGCCACCTCTTTGTTACCTACACACTAGAACAACGTTAGAATGCTAGGCCGATGTACCAAGGGGTGGGTCCGCTGACCGTTTGCACTTCGACGGTCAAGTAAAATGCTCGAATATTGGGTGTGAGAGAAATAAGAAGACACAGTTATGGCTTGGGTTTTGATATTGCATACCTTATAATGAGAAAGAAATGTGTACATGTAGAGAAAATATGGAGTGTGTTAGGTGAGAGTGGGGGTAGGTTAGATGTCACCATCACCTCAGTTTTCTATCTAGTGTCTTTTTGGTGTCTATATCATGTCACAATCGGTCCACAGTAGTCTGTTGGTCAATGTTTGGTTAGGATTAATACTAAGCCATGGTTAGTTCAGCATATCCATTATAACTGCGAGTCTGGTCGGGTCAGAGGCTCAAAAAGAGTGCAAAGTCAAAAGTTGTGTTCCCGTGTCTTGCCACATGTCCGTCATATAAATATTGGTTAATATTACTAATTGATTTATCTAAACGCATTCTCACATAATATCAATTTTTCGAAAACTATTATGATACTACATATCTTTGAGAGCACAAACTATTGATTTGTAACATGATGTCTCATGCAACAACAGGTACAGCAGTTGTGATAGTCATGCTCGTGACCACCTTTCTCATGACATTAATCATGTTACTCGTTTGGCATTGTCATTGGATTCTTGTCCTGATTTTCACTGGCTTATCACTGGCGGTGGAGTGTACATACTTTTCGGCAGTGCTTTTCAAGGTCGATCAAGGTGGTTGGGTTCCCCTTGTGATTGCTGCAGCCTTTCTTGTCATCATGTATGTCTGGCACTATGGTACAGTCAAGAGATACGAATTTGAGATGCATAGTAAGGTCTCCATGGCTTGGATTCTAGGGCTAGGTCCCAGCTTAGGGCTGGTCCGAGTACCAGGGATAGGACTCGTGTACACTGAGCTAGCAAGTGGGGTACCGCATATTTTTTCACACTTCATCACGAACCTACCGGCTATACATTCAGTCGTAGTCTTTGTGTGTGTGAAGTACCTTCCAGTTTACACGGTTTCCGAAGAAGAGAGGTTTCTTGTGAAACGAATGGGCCCAAAGAACTTTCACATGTTCCGTTGTGTTGCAAGGTATGGTTACAAAGACCTTCACAAAAAAGACGACGAGTTTGAGAAAAAGATCTTCGAAAATCTCTTCACGTTTGTTCGGCTGGAGGCTATGATGG